CCTCGCTCGCAAGAGAAGAGGAGGAGAGGGCGGGGCAAGCCCAGCCCCTCCCGTGGCCTCAACCGCGGCGCTGGCAGGCTCCCGGCTGCGGTCACGTGTGATTGGGCCGCCGCGGTCACGTGACGCGCACACTGCACGGCTTCTCCTCGAATAAAACTTCAAAATGGGGGAGGAAGGGCCGGGCCGGGCCCCGCCGCCAGCGCCTACCTGCTTCCCGCCGCCGGCTCTACACGGCGCCGATCCTCCCCGCGGCCCACGCGCCCCGCTAGCGGCGCTGGAGGCCCTCGCGTGTCGCGCGCCGCCGCCCGCCTTCCTCATTGGCTGCTAAGCCCATCACGTGGCCCACACCCGGGACCCCGCCCCCACACCGCCGGGTGCCGGCGCGACGCAGCAGCCTGGAGTGAGGAGGCAGGCGGCAGCGAGTCGCCAGCAGGCTGCGAGGCAAGGGGCTCCGGGCGCGCGGGCAAGCTAGCCTCGCGACGCCCTGGTGAGCGCGTTCCTGATTGGCTGTGCGTGACGTGCGTTCCGGCCCTCGGATTGGCCACGCCCTTCCTGCCCTTCCCCCGCCCTTCGCGCGAGGGAAACACGCTGTTCTCGCGTGGGCCGAGCAGGCGCGCGCACCTCATTGCCTGGCTGCAGCTGCGCCCTCTCGCCCCTCCTCCCTTGGAGCGTTGCTGGGGGGGGCGAGGAAGTGGTGTCCTCGAGGTGTCACCGGGGCCTCTGGACCTCCTGTTCCGTCTGAAAGCGGCAGAGCTCTCCCGCCGGGCCGGGGCACTGCGCGCGCGCTGGCCGTCCACTGCCGGCTTGACACGGACCCGCAGCACCTTTCCCCACTGAGCCCCCCCAGGCAAGAAGCCTCCTGCCATGCTGGAGCTGACAAAATGGCAGCCGTGGGGTAGGCACCTGCACTCAATGACACAGCCACTTGCGTGTGTGGCATCAACACTCAAAAGGACCTGTTTCATAAGAAGAATGAATAATCCAGAGGGCCCAGTGTCCACCAGCAAGCCCGGCATGGCCCAAGCCACAGACAGCCTCTCCACACGCTGCACCAGCTCAACAAGCGGAGGTGCCATTTGCATTGAATCTCTGGCATAAGTGTCCAGGACAACATTTGTTCTCCAGGACAGAGAACTTCTTAAAAACACAGGCTGGTTCACATGTGACCAGTCACTCGCATAGAAGAATTGCGGGGATGGACCAGACACCCACCATTGTATCTTTTGAGCATCTTAGTTCTCTGGCTACAGAAATAATCTGCTGGGTGGCAAAGGTTACAAGATACAGGATGAAAAGAAGAAGAAAAACCCGCTATAACCAACACAACCAATAAAATGAAGACTTCTTGGTACAAAGAACGCTTTAACAAATGTCGGGTATCCATTAGCCATATTGACCTAAAGGAAAAAGCCATCGGAGCTCATGGTAGAGGTGATATCTTTTATTCGACCAATAAGATTTTTGCAAAAAAAAATTCTGTAATTGCAATTAAAGACAAATTTTGTTTAAAAATCTTGTTGGTCTAATAAAAGCTATCACCTCTACCATGAGTCCTGATTGCTTTTTAACAATGGTCAGCATTTCATTGAAGATTACACCTAGCTTATGTTCACATATAAGCATGAGGAATCTCAAAATTACTACTTACTAATAAACCTTGGCATTATTTTTGAGCAAAAAATGTCATGGCAAAGTGATTATTAGATCTCTAAAATGGAAATAAGACCAGTTTCATTATATTAATTAGCAATGTCTTTAGTTGTGAAACAGATCTACTGACAAGAAAACCTGGAGATAAGACAAGCTGTCTTCACCACTATTTGTCATCGCAGTCAATGGAAATCACTTTCAGACATCCGGGTGTTAGACGGAAGGAAGAACGCATGTTCAAATTTCTTAAAATATGGGCATAAGAAGAAAGGGGTTTTCAATAAGGATATTTAGAAACTTTTCTCTCTGCCTTTGTTTGACATAAGTTGTTGTTGGCAGTCCCTTGATATGAGGATGACAGTTTTCCAGTAAATAGGGAAGCCATCAGTGAGTCTGTAGGTGACTGAGGAACCTGATCTGAGATTCACATGTTCACCTGTAGACATGGCAAATAGTTCTGAGAGGAAGGAATAGATCCTGGTGATGTCCGGTCACAGCTCTTTCCCTTTGTCTTTCTCATCCATCCACTTCCATAGCGTGGCAAGTTTGCTTAAAATGATTGATGCCTTGTACATCGCAGTGCCACTGGTGACAGTTTAGTACTTGAGTCCCCAAGGTGTTGATGTTAATATAGCATTTCTTCAGATTAGCTTTTACGGGGTCTTTAGGTGTGTCTACACAAGATGCTGTGTCACAGTTGTTACTGCGCATTTATTTAGTATTTACTAGCAAGTACTAAATAAATGCACAATAACTGGAGTTGCCGCGCAGTAGCACCAGCAAAAATCTTTTAGGTGACGCTACTGCGCAGTAGACTAATAATACTGTGCAGTAGCGTATTAGTATTGTCTGTGCTATCATGAATGGCTGGTGCCTCCCGAGACTGGGGGTACCATTTGTACCCCCAGCAGGGACCACCCACAGATGCCAGCAGAGGTGTCAGCAGTAGCAAGTGGGGACCGCCTGCAGATGCCGGTAGGAGGGGTGGCAAGTGGGACTGCCTGCAGCCGCATCGATTGTGAGTGGGGGGCAGGTGGTGAGTGGTGATCAGCTGCAGAAGCCTTTGGCAACTTTGGCGGCAGCCAGTCTTGGGGGGCACATGCCCCATGTGCCCTCCCTACATGTCGCCTATGTGTACTGTGATGCTCTATTGCATAGTATTTTTAGTAACTGTCTCGTGTAGATGTGCCCCTTGAATCACTTCTTTTGCCCACCTCTGAAGCAGTGACCATCAGTGAGTTGGGAGTATAATCCTTGTTTTGGGAGCTGGTTGTCAGGAATCCTTATAACGTGTCCTGTCCAAGGGAGTTGGTGTTGCATAAATGTGGCTTAAATGCTGGCAGTGTTTGCTTGAGCAGAACGCTGGCATTTGTTCTTCTGTTCTTCCAGCTGATATGGAGGATTTTCCAAAGACATGGCTGATGGTAACGCCGTATTAAAAAATTCATAAAATAGTAAAAAAGGGTAGAGTGCATTAAAAACCATGGAGAAAATTCCAGAGGTAACCAACGTCACAAATACAGCTTAATGCAAGCTTGCATTAAAATCCTTACTGTCTCATTTCAGCATTTTTGATAACTAATTGAAAAGATTGGTCTCTCTATATTGGAATACTATTATATTTAGATGATAACTTAAGGAAACTTTCTTGTTATTAAAAAACTACCATATACTGAGCTAAATAAACTCAAATGCCAAATGATGCACTTTTCTATAGGCACCAAACCTAAAATGCCTATGCACCTGCTTAACTCTACACCAATGAGGAATCTCATCGGCTTCAACAGGACTACTCATGTATAAAGTTAAGTCTGTTTTTTAAGCGTTTGCAGGTCAGAGACCATAGTTATTAGTTGATTAACAAGAAACAGATGCCTGTTATTCATATAGTAGGATGTCTAATAATTGCAGGCCATATCTTCTTCAACACAAGAAAATATATAAGAATGATATATTCTATATTGTGAATTATATATTTATTTTTGTATATACAGTATATATTTACTTTATACATAAAAATAGAATGCTGTATAACGAGTAAGGAAAAAAGATTTTAAAAATCTGCAAAATTCTAGTGGAAACAGAATTATGAGTAATAAGCAACATGGTTTTATAACCAGTAAATCATACCAGACAAACTCAATTACTTTTCTAAGAATGAAGATCAATAGGCAAAGAGAATGCTATTTCTCTATCCCGATTTTAGTGAAACATTTTATCATCTTGCTAAATCTTACCTCAGCCCTGTTTCAAATTAGCCTGGCCACAAGCAAGATCACATGGAATGAAAGCTAGCTAGAAAACATGAAAAGTGATGACAGAGGGTACTGAGTTCTAAGAAAGTGTCTGTGGTTCTGGGATAAATTTTCAAAAGTCATAGTGACACAGCTGTAAAAGATATTTAGATGTTTGGCTTCAACCTTCCATTGAAATGAATGGGAGTCAGGGTTCTAAATACCTTTGAGGAACCTACTTTAGGAGCCTGAATCACAAATTTTCAAAGGTGACTTATGTACCTAGTGGTTACTTTAATAAAACTGGCCTTTAAATTCCATTTAACTCCCAATATGGAACTTTAGCACCTTTGAAAATTGAACTTAGGCTCCTAAATCACTGAGACAATTTCAGAAAAAAATTCCCTGGCCTATACTATAAATACAGCTGGGTCAGGGAATATAGTTGTAACACACTGCCTAAACTAGCTGTATGCATTGTTTAAACATTTAGTATAGACTGGACGTGTACTGAATTTAGCAATCAGGTTAACATCTTGGAGGCACCTCTGATTAAAGAGTTTCAGAAGCTTTAGTCCAGACTGGGTGCATCTACACGTGTGCTTTACTGCAGTTAGACTAATTAGCGCTGCAGTAAAGCATCACTATCTGCACGTGCACCAGTATTAGAGCACAGTAAATAAGTTAACTCTGCCATAAGATAGTACTGTTGGGGACACTACTATTTCATAGTGCAGTTACTTACTGTGCCAAAAGGCACATGTAGGTGGTGATGGGCTGGCTGGGACACAAGGATGCTAAAGTACAGAGGGCTGCCTGCCACTTAGCCCCTCATTTTAGAACCCTCATACCCCAGCCAGCCCTTCTGCCTCCCGATGCTGCCATCCAGAGCCTGGGGCTGAACCCCCATGTCCCTGCCAACTCTGCCCCAGCTCAAAGTGCTGCTGTCCCAGGCACGTGTGGATGCTTTGCCTGGGAGCAGTGTACTATGGTGCAAAGTGTGCCAGAGTTTATTTGTTTGCATTAACTGCATGTTGTAGATGTACCTGCTGAGTGCTACTTTTTTGGAGGTCTTAACTTTCCCTGTATTGCAAATTGGAGTCTTGTTTGTAACTAGGTTAAGAAAAAGATAGCCAGATCTAACCAGTTCTTTTACACAACTGCATCTGTAGTATAAATGGGGCCCATTCCACAGGGGATAGATGTTAAACTCAATTTTATTTAACACATATTTTATGTTATCAGGAAGAGCAGAGGAAATGGCATATTAATTACATTCACAGATTATGTTGAACTGGAAAGAGCTGCAAACCCCCAAAAGGACAGAAAAGTAGGCCTTACAAAAGCTAGAATTATTGGCAGAAAATGCACTCTAATACAGTCTGTGCGAGTAAAAGATATCACTAATTTTTGGGGGGAGAAAACACCTATAAAGCGGCAATGCTGCAGGAAATCTAGGGAACATCACAAGCAACACGTTAGAAACTAGGTTGCAGTAAGAATATACGAAGTGCCATAAGCCCAATATTCTGTCTCCGACAGTGGCAGGAGTTGATGCTTTAGAGAGAGAGCATTAAACTGGATATATCTAGAGGGATCTATCCCCTATTCATTACCCTCCTTGGCATCCACCATTATTGGTTTAGAGATGACAAAGGAAACATTTCCAACCCTTCTATTCAACAGCTATTACTAGATCTATCATCCATGAATTTGTCTTGTCTCTTTTTGAACCTGACTATGCTATCTACCTGTACTACCTCCTGTGGCAATTAATTCTAAAAAGTTAACTATGTGTTGTATTAAAAAAAATCCTTTCTCTTTTTAATGTTAAACCTGTTTCCTATTAATTTCAATGGGTACCCCCTAGTTCTAGTATTCTTTGATTTGGTGAATAACAGATCCCAGTTCACTTTGTCCACACTCTTCATGATTTTATAAACCTCTATCATATCCCCCCTCAGCCTCCTCTTTCCACACTAAAGAACCCTGGCCCTTTTAGTCTCCCCTGTAATGGCAGTTACTTCATACCCCTAATTATTTTAGTTACCCCTCTCTGCACTTCTTCTACATCTTTTTTGAGATACAGAAACCAGATTTCTTCACCATGTTCAAGAAGTGTATGCATCATGGATTTGTGTAATGGCATGATAATTGTAAGGGAGTAGAGCAGGTGCCGAGCTCGGAGGGATCCCAAGTCGACGCAACCCAACGCCGCTCGCGTGGTGTGGCTGGCGTCGAGCAGCGGGAATTTGAACCCTACAGGAACCCGGAAGTGGGAGGTGCTGGGGCAACCCGGGCCTGTTCAAAAGGAGCACCGGTGCGGGAGCCGAGAGGGACGGGTCCGGAGGCAGCGGAGCCGAGAGCGACAGGTCCGGAGGCAGCGGAGCTGGGAGAAGCGGGTCCGGAGACGGTGGCGCCCAAGGTGGCGGAAGCAGGCACTGCAAAGGCCAGAAGCGCCACCGGAGTAAAGGCGCCCCAGAGGACCAGGGCCAGCAGAAGGAGCAGCTGGACCTTTTGGGGTAGGCGGGACCCCTAGACAGGGATGCGTACCCCGGGAAGGAGACCTAGTAAGGT